GATAATTATTTGATTGATAAATTAATCTAATTTTGTTATAATATTGTGTAAGACATGAAAGCGCATTGTCAGATGGAACTATTTTAGCAATAAAATCATTTGACAGGCATATCTGGTATTTTGATCCTGCCTTAGTCGTGTTTGCTTTAGCAGATGAAAATTGCCCAAACAGAGAAGATATTGCTAAAGCATTATACAGTACAATTTTTTCAAAATCAATAGTATATCTACTTGAACATGCTATGGTCAATAAAGAGCTTCTTCACTCTCTAGACTTTGCATAAAATCAGCCTCCATCTTTTAGTACTTTAGTAGTTGAACAATCTTGGCTCATTTTTGATAATATTGGACATGGAAAGAGTGAGTTGCAGTTTTTTAAGGTTTGTTCAGAATTCTTGAAGTTCAATTAGCAACCACTAATTAGTGTTGGAAGTTACTGGAAGAGAAAAGATGAAGATTGTAGAGCAAGATAACGATTGACAGACGACTTAAAATATTGCAAATTATATGAATCAGGAAAGCAAGATGAAGGAAGCGAATTCCAAAGAACTGATGTTCGAGGAAAAAAACTAGACGAATAAGAGTTTTTGATCGAGTCGTTTACATTACATCGAGTACATTAACGTTCATAAATATATAGGAAGGTCTAAAGTATTGCGATAACGATTGACCGGAAAAAATTGAGTTTTATCTGAATTAAAGTTCACCAGCCACTGTGAGCCCCATGCTGTAACAGAAGTGAGATCCTTTTCAAGCTCAAATGCCTCCTGCAAGCAATCAGAGGGAGTTGGCTTATTATCGTAACAAGAATAAATGGTAGTATCATCAGCGAACAATGCCACCTTAGATGTGAGAATATCTGGAAGATCGTTAATGTAAATTAAAAAGAGTATAGGGCCAAGGATTAAACCTTGGGGAACCCCTGAGGTTACAGAATAAGAAGAAGAGTGCTGTCCATCAAGGACAACTTTTATACTACGATTGGAAAGAAAGGATTCAATAATCTTAAAGATGTTTCCAGATACACCATAAGAAGAAAGTTTATGGAGGAGACCAGCATGCCAAACTTTATCAAACACTTTAGAAATGTCAAGAGCAATGGCCTTAACCTCTCCACCTTTATCTAATGCGCGATAAAACTGATATTACTGATAGCAAATCAGCTGTAGAACAAGAAGATCAAAATCCATACTGATGATCAAAAAGTAGGTTATGAGATTCAAGATGAGAGATTAAGTGCTTGTTAATTAAAGATTCAAAAACCTTGCTTACGATAGGAAGAAGACTAATGGGACGGTGGTTAGATGAGTCAGATCGCTCTCCAGAATTTATAAAAATAGGGATAACAGATGCTGCTTTCCAGCAGGCTGGAAAACAAGACTCTGATAAGCACTTGTTGAATAGTTTTGAAAAGATAGACGACAGCTCAGGAGAACACTTCTGCAAGACTATAACAGGTATGTTGTTCGGGCCGCAAGCTGTAGAAGAGTCTAAGCGGGAAATCACTTTAGATACAGAAGCTGGAGTGATACAAATGTCGAGCAATGGATCAACCTGTTTGACAGGTATATCAGGTAAAACGCAACTAGTGGCATCAAGAGATGATATTGATGAAAAGTTCTTGCCAAACAATTCAGCTTTGTCTTTAGGTGAGGTGACAAAGTCTGAACCGTACAAAAGAGGTGGAATTACAGACTTGCCCTTATTATTGATACTATTAAAGATTCTCCAGAAGTCACGAGAGCCTAATTTTTGTGATGAAATACAAGATTTCATGATCTGAGAATAGCGGGTTTTGGCGTTAGACAAAACCTTTTTACAATGGTTCCTAGCAGTAATAAAGAGACGTCTGTTTTCTGGAGAATTGTTTTGCTGATAGATATGGAAGTAATGGTTTCGATTGGCAATTGCAGCAGCACAATGTGAGGAAAACCATGGAGAAGAGTGAGGCTTGACCTGGAATCGTCGAGAGGGAATAAAGGATTCCATGCCAGCCTGAATCCACGAAGTTATGTAAGAAGCACATTTGTCAACAGGGAGACGAAAGATTTCTACCCAGGGGCCATCACGAAGAAAGTCACGAAAAGAGTCCCAGTCAGCTTTAAGGTAGTTGTAAGATGTACGATGATAGGGGGATTCTAAAGGTAAAGAAGAATGAGATAATAGTTTTAGAGAGACCAAACCATGATCAGACGCACCTAAGGGTGAGTGTGAAGAAACTGAACACTGACTAGGATCAGAAACAAGATATAAGTCGAGTAGAGAAGGTAAATGATTCGGGTTGTCTGGAAAGCGAGTTGGAAAGTTGACTATTTGAGTTAGGGATTGAGAAAGACAAAAGTTGTGGGCCTTAATGCCTGCAGAGTCAGTGTGATGAACATTAAAGTCACCGACAACAACAATATTGGCTGATGGATAAAGAATGAGGGCTTGGTCAATATAACCAGAAATAACATCAAGAAGAGTGCAGTCTTGGGATGAGGGAGAGCGATATAGAACAAAGAGAAAGGTGATTGAGTGAAGTGGTGCTAAACGAAAGCACATAAAAGAGTAGTCTGTGGATTCAAACCTAGTTTCCCAACAAATGGGTGAATTCTTACAAATGTAAATGCCCAGGCCAAGCATGTGACTATTGGAGTCTTTACGAATTAAAGGAAGATAACCATCAACACTAAGATCACAAGATGAGACAGCTGAACTCAAATTAGTCTCACAAAGAGCAAGCAGGTCTGGTGAACTTTGCAAGAGATAAGACTCAACAGAAGAAAAGTTACTTCGAAGACCACGAATATTGGTGAATGATAGGTTTAGCGAACTTGGTGATGACTGTGGTTTTTTGTGTTTTATAGTTTTTGTTACTTTATTCATTTTTAAATTTGTTAAAGAACTTGACTTGAAACATTGATAGTACTCAGTACACTGTTCTATAGCTCAAGCAATTGCCTCATTTCCACTAATAAACCCTAAGCCGTAACAAAGGGCTCCAATGTGGCCTCGGCAATGCACACCAAAAGTACAAACAGGGACACCATCTATGCGCAACATGGCACTGTTAGTACTCTGATATTTTTCAGCTGTTGATAACTTATTAGAGAGGGCCATTAAACTAGTTAAATAACTGATTGGAAAATTAACCAAAGCAAAGAAATGACAGGATTTGTTCTTGCTTAACCATGTTCACAAAAGAAGTAAGCAAGGGGAAAAAATAAAAAATTTAGCATCAAAATCAACTAATAATATTTTAAAACAACATGTTAATAAAATAATAAAAGTCAAATAATCAATTAATTTTGTTTTTCCTCACCTCTCACCTCTCACTTTACTGCAACTTGAAAGAAAGATAAATTAATAGGGGAGAGCTAATCAATCTTACTTTAGATTTTGGATATTAAACTTTACCAAGTTTAATATCCAAAATAATGCAGCATATTTTAATAGCAAGTTTATAATTTGATTTAAGAGGATTTTGTAATAAAAAAGTCCATAGAAATAAGGAAATAATTTTTTTTGGCTACTTTATTATTGTTTCTATAACTTTTTCAGTGTTAAGAAAAAAAAAATTTATATGGGCGATTCTATGGCAGAAAATGAAAAAGTAGTTAAATTTTATTCTCTTTTTCATCAACTTTTAGCAAATGAATATCAATGTTAATTTAAAATATATCTTTAGTACTAAAATTAATTTAAGCCACTTTTATACTTCCAAAAGTTACGGTTTTTCTCATTGTTGCATGATAAAAAAAGTATCGTTGTGAAATGTTATTTTAACCATGAATTTATTTGCATAACCCAAATTAATTTAGCGCGAAAATGTTTAAATTGTTGTTAGTTAGATTCAGAAAATAACGAAAGAACTTTTGCAATTTTCATGTAACATAAGTTGACAAAAAATAAAAAAGTTTTGTTTTTTCTAAAATTTAGTTAAAAAACGTAAGTTTTTCAATAATATATGCAAAAGAATATTAAATGTTACGTTTTTACTTTTAATGTCTTAAATAACAATGCTTGGTTAGCATTGTAACTTTTTTATTTTAAATTTGTGTAACATTTTCATTTTAGCTTTGTGTACTATAAGTTAAAACAACATGCATTTACTAAAGTTGTGGTGCTTTTTTGTTTTATTGTTTACAAAATAAATATTTTAATAAAAGTTTTATTGTTTACAAAATAAATTACTCATTACCTAATTTTTATTTTATCATGTTGGCTTGAGAAGGTTCTAACTAAATGTTTTATATTTGGATAACTTAAAATAAAAAAAAAATTTTTTTTTTTCATTCTTAATTAAAATTATTTATATTATTATTTCTTTATTTGTTTATGTATTCTATACTTTTTTTTGTTTGACATATAAATATACCTAAATAAATAAAAATAAGAATTATATAAATTACCTTATTTAAACATTAAAATAAAAAGAAAAAAAGATTCATATACTATTCTCTAATATAAAAATTTGGGAAACATTTTTGTTTTAGTAAAACAAATCGTTCATAAATGCAATAATGGGGGGTCATTCATAAAGCACATCACCCTATATTTGTCCATTCTTAATTCCTTCCCTCCTGTCACAAACGATCACATGTACCTGAGCCCCTCTCCCTAATAAACTGTGATAGCAGTTTTTACGTAAAAAATACATTATATTAAGACTAACAGCTTTAATATATATATATATATTAAAACTAACAGCTTTAATATATATACATATATATATATATATATATATATATATATATATATATATATATATATATATATATATATATATATATATATACTCCACTGCGAGTCAGGCTATTTGTCAGTCGATGTATGTACTGAAGCCCCTAGAAGCAGGCTATTTCAGTATGACGTCAGACTGCTTACCTTAGTACGCAATACTATTTGTATATATATATATATATATATATATATATATATATATATATATATATATATATATATATATATATATATATATATATATATATGTATATATATATATAAAACACCTTTACCTCTAACAAATTTGCCATGAGTCTTCTTTGAGCTTCTTTAAACCCAAAGCAAAGATAGCTGTGTGTGTATAATGTATAGTCAAGACCATATAGAGACAATTTTGAAGAGTATTTTTCTGGAATGGTAATATTTTCAGGAATAAATGCTATTTCAGCAGACCCTCCTCCCATATCTAATGAGCCAACCAAGTACGGATTGCTTTTTGGAGGCTAAAAACAATTAAAGTTAAAATATATAACAACTTTGAAAAAGATGACTTTTTTTAAAATAAAATTATTATCTCGACAACACTTTACATTTTGGTAAAAGTAATTTCCTACATACACTTTTAAATATATATTTCCATTTATTCTTTTTATGCGCTTAAGTGTTGAAAAATGAGCAGTTTTTATAAAGAAATTATTTGTGAAGTGTGAAGACATGTACAATAATAAAAACTAAATGGTTTAAAACCTAATCAAGTTGAAAAATTATTCAGAAAGAAAAATAAGAAAGCCATAAGTAACTTTATAAGTTAAGATTGCATTCCACGGCATAAATTGATATAAACTAGTCAAGTGTAAAATAAAATAATGGAAAAATATGAAAAAAATGTAAATTTGAGTTAATCAAATGTAAGGACTTCAATAAAAATGCAAGGGAAAAAAGGTATACAAATAACCTATTGAGCTAGAAATGTATTGTATCATATAGGTATGCAAAAACTACACAACAAAAAAACAAACAAATAAACAAAATAAAATTAAATTTTATGTTAAGCATTAAACTGACATAATTATCATTTAAGTCTATACTGCAAAGTAAAATTTTTTCCGCTAAAAGTGTTTAATCCACAATTAGCATCGCTACCTTCTCCTCAGTTTTAAGTCAAGCCTCATTCTTAGCCCTAGTTTCTAACTTCTTGCACAACTACTATTTTTACCTTCTTGTGCAGCTGCTGTTTTTAATCATAATCATTTCTTTAATCTTCTTTACAAGACCACTTTTCTTATAAACATATTTTTATTATTGCAAGAAATCCATGCAAAATGGTACTGTCTGACACTAAGCTCCATTACTCTCAATATATTATTTATCTATATCTCTAAATTTCCTATTTTATCTTAGAAGTTAGGTTCTAGAGATTTTTGGAAAATCTTTATAAGTGTCATTAAAAAAGATAATATTCCATATCTAATTAGGTATTAGAGATAATATGGGTTCCAGACAACATCTCTCTCATAATCTTACAAAAGAGTTTTCCAGAACTCTTTCCAATACTTTCTAATCTAAACAATTTAACTGAACCTTGCTTTATTACCAGCCTGAAAATGACACCTGTGGTTCTAATTTTTAAAAACTATAAAGAACACTCTCATACTACTAACTATCACTGAATCAAGACCTTTCTCAATCTTCTATCTATTATTTGCAAGCTCTTTGACTCTAAAGTTACCAAACTTCTAATATATAGAGTCCACCAACTTACTCTTTGAAAATCAATATGGATTTCAATCCTCATTTTCTACAGCTGACTTGTTAACTGTTATAACAGAAAGGTCCTATCATGCATTAGATGGGAGTGGCAAGGTAGTGGAAATTACTCTTGACAAATCAAACACTTTCAATAATATCTGGCATATTTAGGAAATTGTTTGAGATTATTAAATCATTCCTTTTTAATTTCAGTTATTAAAATTTTCTTCAAAAGCCAACACCTGTCTTCATTTTCTAGTAACTTCTGGGGTACCACAAGGTTCTATCTTTGGACCTGTATTGTTTCTTATCTATACTTATGATCTTACTGACAATCTTTCATCTAAATTTGCTGACAACATAACTATAGGCTTGACAAAAAGTCATCACAGTGACTGCTCAAAGAAGCTATTACTTTTTGCTCCATCAACCAAAATCAATCTTGTATGACTCAATTTACAGCTTTTTTTCTGTCAACCCCTTTGTTACTTTTTAACAATATACTTTGTTTTCTGGTATTTTGCAACTAAAAAAGTGGTTGCTTGAAGTCTTGTTCAGAGTAAACTAGCTACAAAAAAAATAATAATCAAAAAAAAATTAAAATAAAAAACACTTAACAAGCATCTTAGAATTTTTTATGACATTGTTATTTAAACTTAAGTGAAATCTGAGATTACTGGTAGAGATGGTGTAGGTAATGTTCATTAGGTGCCAGATTTTGAATCTGACCATATACTTCCAATAATTAGAAAAAAAGAGAATAAAAAAAAGTTCTAAGTGGAACAATGATCATCTAGAAGATTAAAAAACAGCTTCCAACCACGTATTCAACAGCTTCCACCAAACAACAACAGCTTTGAACCAAGTAGTCAACAGCATCAGGCTAGGGAGTCAAACTATTGACATAAGCCATGTTATTTAAATAAACATAAAAAATGCTACTACTTTATTATTTTCTTGTTTTTGTAAATATTTTTCATATAAACTTTATTTGAAATGAAAATGGTAGAACTTACCATTTCTTTAAGTAATGCACCATTAACTATATTTGCAGAAATCCAACCAAACGCACTTTCTTCTTTCCCAGTAAGTATTTTAACTCTGTTCTTGGTTTCTCTAAATTTATATTTATTTAAGCTTCTTCTTATTGACTCTTCAATTAAGTAACATGCTTCCTGGTCCCTTTCACTATAACAAATTATAGAAAATATAAATAAAATAATACTTACTATGTTAGATCCTATGACTTTTTCAAACAGAAGTTTATTTGTTTTAGCAACTTGAAGACATTATTATTATAATATGATGTAATCTTAATACAGCTTTTTTATCGCATTCATAAAAGCTTACCAAAGTAGTCTCATTCCAGCAGTTGCACCAAAATATATGGCAGTTTTCTTTATTGCATGCTGTGATAGTAGCCTCAATACTACATTATCAATACACTTTTTTATCATTTCTCCAGCTATTTCTGGCTCATGTTCATAACTTGTTATCCCAGCATCTAAATGCATTTTTAAACATAACTAAAATAATGAGACACTAACACACAGATTTCAGACACTTCTAGGTCAGCAATTGGATTGGCAATGCTGAATGCTAAGAGTTTAAATTCCGAGGGTTTTATATATATATATATATATATATATATATATATATATATATATATATATATATATATATATATATATATATATATATATATATATGTATATGTATGTATATATATATGTATATATATATATATATATATATATATATATATATATATATATATATATATATATATATATATATATATATATATATATATATATATATATACAAGGCTTTAAAAGTGGGACATCGGACAATGTCCGGCTTAAACCTCAGATTGTCCGCTCAATTTACAATGTAATCGGACATTTTGACCAACGGGAATTAAATTCTACAAAATTAAGTTTGGACATGAATGGAAAGTGTGATCGAACACATTTTCTGAACACGCAAATGATTTTTTTTATTTACAAATTGACAACGATTGTTTAGATGCTTTGATGATTTAAATGTTTCAGAAATGCACTGAAAAAAGCAATATTATCATGAACTTGAAAAAAAATTTTAAAAACTAACCAATAAGCAAAACAATTCCTTACGAAAATAAAAACAAATTAGCATTAAAATAAAACTAAAAAAACTCAAAGTAGAAATTACTTTTGTTATGTTTTTAATTGCATTTGAAAAAAATTACTTTAAAACTGTTCTTTTAAAATGTTTAATAAAAGCTATGCAAAACGCTTTTACAAATTACTTCTATTGATTGTTTAATAAATGAACAAATTTAATTTATATAAAAATTTATTTCAAAAAGATGCAATTAAAAAAATAACATTGTCTTTTTAATATCCTAATTTATAATCACTTCATGATTAAATTAGTAAGTCAAGTTTAAAAAAAAAAAACATTTAAACAGTTCTTTGTTAAAATAGAAAATGTTTTTGTTAAAATAGAAAAACAAACAAAAAAATAAAGCAATTAAATCATTAGAAGATTTAACTTATTTATAAATTGAAGTAACTTAAAATTTAAATTAAAATTAAAATAATATTTAAAAAATATTATTTTTAAAGATTTTTAGAACAACACGGAAAAATAGTTTCAAACGTTTAAATTTATCATAAAAACTACATAGCTAATTTAAAAAATTTAAATATAACATTTAATTTACACATAATGCATTAATTTTTAAACGATCATTATAATTAATTTTTGATTTTATTTTATTTTAAGCCTTCGCGTAAAATAAAAAAAAATTAAAAAAGATCAATGATTAAAAGTTTATCTTAAAGATTTTTTGAATTGCATATAAATTGTTAAAACATCAAAACAGCCGTTATCAAATTGTTATGAATTTTAGCATTCAGAACAAAATAAACTGAATTATACAAATATCTTTTAAATATATGTATGAATTTAGATTTTACTGTATATAAATAATAATAAACTAATATTTAAAATTTCAAAGTTCTTTACTTTTATTAAATAATAAATCAATTGTTTCATCTAATTTTTTTTTTGATTCTCTCAGTTTCTTAGAGATAACTATAGATTCCGGGTTTAAGTCAAGAGCTTTCATATGGTCATACACAATTCTCTGGCTTATTAATGATTTATTCATCAAATTAGGTTTAACATATTCTTGTTAATTTTAAACCATCTTTCAACCGCTGCTTGACCATGAAAAAGAGCCAACACCATGTTGATTAATTTGGATAGTGCTGGATAATCATCTAAATAACCAACTTTAGAAAAAAAGAACTCATCTAATCTATCATCTATTTTGTTGAAATTCATGAAAAGCTCCCTGTTTTTAGAGACAATCTATTCTAAATATCTCTTGAATTCGGTATTTACCTCATCCCCACCTTTTTGGGTAACCCAATGTAATTGAATCAAGTTATTAAACAAATCACTTATCCTTTCCTTTGACATTTTTCATTGCACACACACATATATATATATATATATATATATATATATATATATATATATATATATATATATATATATATATATATATATATATATATATATATATATATATATATATATATATATATATATATATATATATATATATATATATATATATATATGATAATAAATAAAAAAAGAAAAACAACACAAACCAATAAAAAAAGATCATCTTTTTCTTTGTATATAATCTGATGATGATGATGATGATGATGATGATGATGATGATGATGATGATGATGATGATGATGATGATGAAGATAATGATGATGATAATGCATGATGACATGATTAATAATTCTTAATAATGTATCCAAAATAAAAAACTAACCAGAACATGTTTCAGAAGCTAGTTGATCAATTTGAGCTGTACCATGATTCTTATAACCAACCGGCCACCTGTATATAGTAATACCTGTATGAGTTGATCCAGCATCAAATACAACTCCATACTAAATTTTTATGCAAAATATTTTGATATAAACATATACACTGCTTGATTCTAAGGGTTTTAGGTTGAATTTCAAAAGACATGATGCTTTTCTCCAGATTCTAATAATATGTATAAAATAAAAATAAAATCCTAAGTGCTCCTTCTTAGTAGAAACTTGATATTTTCCTAAACCTAAAAAATAGTGTTTAAAAAAAATATCATTTTTATTATTTTAGCTATCTCTTATTATAAAGATCATAAAAATCCACACAACCATCCATTGTCTTTGTCTTCAAAATGCGGTTAACTTAATATAATACCTTTTACAGTTTCACTTATAAAGGTCTTAAAGCTTGATGAGTTGTTTAGAAATATTAACTGTTAAAATTTGTATAATTTTTAAAACTTGTATAAAATTTTTATAACTTTTTATAACTTTTTTACTTTATTAGCATTTATTTTTATTAATAATAAAAGCAGATATTATTTTAAAAATCTACCCAAGATAAATATATTTCAAATGGCTCATTTTTCAAGGAAAAAAAAAATTATAATGAATCCAGAGATTCATTATAATTTTTTCCTCGTTTTCCAAAATTTGCCGACTGTCATGACGACATTTGCCAACTGTCTAACCTATATCGAAAGGGGGTCCACATTTGCCGACTAACTAGGTCCAATTTGCCGACTAAGGGTCCAATTTGCCGACTAAGGGTCCAGTTTGCCGACTAAAAATCATTGATGGGAGGAGGGGGGGGTCAAGGGTGGGTCAAGGCCGGCACGATAGGGGTGGGGGGGGGGTCACACACCTCCCCACACCCCTATCGTGCCGGCCTTGCATGAAGGATTCGGTTTTGATATAAATGCATTTCCAACTTGACTTTGTTGCCATTGCAAAAATGCTCTCTATGCCAAAATGGTTATTATATTTTATAAATATTTTATTAATTTATTAAATTTTTTTAAATTTTTTTTATTAAAAATAAAAATAATCTTGTTAACAGCTATAAAAATGATTGAAGAGGTTGGATAAGGTGGAAGAGAGTTACTTATAATGATTGGAAGAGTTGCTTTAACTGACGAACAATGTTTATGTTCAATTTGTTGTATATTATCAGACAAGAGCAGCCACAAGAATTTTGATTTTTAGAGATTTATCATTGAGTCAAATAAAAACTTCTGCAATGAAAGATTAAATTCATTCTGTACAGATTGTTTGTTTTCAAATAGTTGGAAAGAGAGACACCCATGTACCTAAACATCTGCTGTTCAAAATGCTAAGAATCTTATTCTTTATAAGGATAAAATGATGTCAGAGCAAATAAACTGCTCTAAAGTTTCTAGTTAAGGCTGAAAATTCATTACATTATCCACAAACAGATTTTTATTTATTTGTTTATTTATTTATAATGATTTGCTGAAATATTTTATTTTAATTTTAGGAAGGCCACTGTTATATGCAGTACTAAAACCTAAACTCCAAACAAATAAAGTCTCTACTGATACATTATTTGATATCAAGAAAAATCATGATCTGCCTGAAAATGTTGTTTGTGATATTTTTAGAGGTTTACAAAAAGATCTTGGTCCTCTAGGTGTTTTATTATTTTATAATATATTTTATATGGCAGTATTTTAATTTATTTATTTTCAAAAAATTTATAATAGTTAATACAATTCACATTGTTTACAGTATATGATTTTACAACTAAGTGTAAAAAAGAATTCAATTGCTACGGTTATGAAGCGTTCTCATGCTCTAGAAACATTTTACAGTTACAAAAAAATGCTTTTTTAAATGGAAAGGAAGATGAATTTGAAAACTCAGTGTTGAAAGATATTGAATACATTAAAGATCTCACCAGACTTGTTCAAGAAAAATGCTATCAAGGTGGATTAGATCCTATGTAAGCCCTTGTTAGAGTTGGAATTGATGGAGGACATGGTTTACTAAAGGTTTAGAAACTTAACCTACTTTTTATTATAAACAAAAGAAATAACAAACAAAAAAAATAAAATTAGGACTATTATTCAATATTAAATACTTTTGATGAAACAAAGTTAGAGGAGCAAAGTAGGAATGAGAAAGATGCAGGAGAAAACGAGGTAAAACTCTGGCTTTGGCTGTAAGGAGAAAAACCATAATCGATGAATGCTTATTAAACAAATTAATCTAAATCAGCTCAATTTTTTTTGTGGCTTCTTACCTAAAGCTCATAAATGTACTTCTTGGCATATCAGTTAGAGACTTTGTGTAATTTTATTAAATTCTCAAAATTATCTATTAAAACAATAAATCTCAGAATGACGAAACATGTTATTATAGAGTCATGGTGGAAAACATGCTTTGTTACTGCACTGGTACAATTAGCTCATCAGGTGACTTAAACACTTTTGCCTCCTTAAGTTCAGATTACTATCAGTACCAAGATGCAGGATATCCTTATAAGACTATGAAATTATTTAATAATTATATTAACTTATGTTCGCTTGAGGAAGAAAATTAATTCTTGACACCATCTCTACACTGGAAATTCACATGTATGAGCATGTTGTAAAAAGAACTGTTGACACTCTTATTGTCATTGAGGGCCTGAAATCCTTTTTTATAGGTATAATGGTATAATAGTGGCGGATTAGATGGACCCAGCTGCAATAACGTTATCAAATTATTAGATGAAAAGATGCTGGTAACACCAATTCAGTTATATCCCTGAATTAAAACCCTGCAAAAGTTTAGTACAGGTAGCAATTACATATATATATACAAACCTCTTAGACTTTTTTCAGAGCAAACATTCGGGCCTGTACATAAAAATTTAACAGAAAACATTGAAGTGCTATGTCGTTGTAGGGACTAATAAACACCACAGATTGAAGCTTAAAAAAGTGGCTTTCACTTACAGCTCTATGAGAATTTAAACTAATTAAACACATGCATGTTTTAACTAATTTACATAATATATATGATCTCATTGTTTAACTTATTTAATTGTTTTCTATGGATTTTATTTTGCTTCGAAATCTGTAATGTAGAGAACAGACCTAAAAAATAATTCTAGTAGCACGTTAGCTATAAAGTTATCAAACCATTAAAGGTATTATTATATATTAAATTAACTATATTTTGAAGACAAAGACAATGGATGGTCATGTGATATTTGTAATAAGAGATAGCTAAAATAAAAAAGATGATATAGTTTTTAAACACTATTTTATTGATTTCAGAAAATATAAATTTTGTTTTAAGAAGAAACAATAAGGATTTTATTTTCAACACATTCCAACTCGTAAATATACATATTAAAAGAATCTGAAGAAAAACCTCATGTTAAATGAAATTCAACCTAAAACCCTTAGAATCAAGCAGTTAATATAGCATTTAATAAAAAACCAACTGGATCATTCAGTACCAAATCAACTAGAAAAAAAAATTTTGACACTAAATTTGCACCATAGTTTACCATGCTATTTCAGAATTTAATGTTTTTTGGTATATAAGCAAATATTGAGGCAAAAAAAACTTCACTTAAAAGTTAAGTCTAATTCTTTTAAAGCTATAGAGATATATGCTGTCTTAATCACTTTATTGATTTTTTTTAGTGTAACTTTTTTTTTTAAGCAAATAGCATCACACCTCTTATGCAATATTTGTTAAATAGTAATGAATATTTGTACTTAACTATTTTTTAGAGTGTAGAATTCAAAAATGATGACTAAAAACCTACAAAATTAAACTTACTAAAATACTTTTAAGATAATTGTTCAACTGATTTTAAGAAATAAGAAATTTATCATAAACAAACATATTTGATAGGATGTCCCAAAAAACAACAATTTTTATGCCTATACCATACTACCTAAATGTGTTCTTTATATTAAAATAACACTGAATTTAATTTTTTTTTTTTTATTAAAAATATACTTTTAGAGGTCCCTTAAGACCTTGAAAATTTAACACTAATATTTTCAAAAAAACGTTTTTCAAAAGTTTATCATGTTGGGTCTCAAATGAAGCGAAATTGTATGAAAATTATAAAAACACTAAATACAATAAAAAAATATATATATATTTGATTCTAACGCATAAAAAACAAGGTTTATTAACTAAAAATTAAAACTTGCATCTTTCTCAATAACTTTTTTATAATATAATTATTATTTTTTAAATTTTCATATAAATTCATTTCATTTAAGACCAAACATGATAAAGTTTTAAAAAACAATAAAAAATTAAGGATTGCAAAGAGTTAAAGTATAGGTCCTATTCACTAAAGACAAGAAGATTTCCTCAATAAGTTATCTAAAAAAGTTAAAGGTAAAGCAAATGACATGGATATATTTATAGAAAAATCTAAATTTTTTTTGTTGACTTCTGATTCCATCATCTACCTCTACAAATTTCTTATACCTCCCATTCAGGGAGGTATAAAAGATTTGTAGAGGTAGATGATGGAATCAGAAGTAAGATAATTGCAAACATGATAAAGAAATCCAACTTTAACAGATGCTAACCTAGCAATTGGTTGTATATATGGTTTTCAAGAGAGGTCAGTAGTAATTGACAATCCAAGAAGATATAAAAAAGAGATCTCAATAAGAGGGCATCAATATAGGAATGTCAGCAGTGTTGCGATAGTTGTTTGCAGCAAACAAATGAGTTTTTTTGGAGTTTAAATTCACACTCCATTGCAACTCCTAATATGTTACAGTAATAAGATTAGATTCAAGTTAGGCTGCTTATTTTAAGTGATTCAAAAGAGAAGACTTTTTGTCAAGACAAGAGTATAAAGTAAAGTCATCAACAAAAAGAGCCAATTTAGATGAAAGGTTGTCAGGAAGATCATAAATGTAGATAAGAAACCAGGACCAAAGATAGAACCCTGAGGTCCACCAGAAGTCATTGGAAATAATAAATAATAAGTTAGAGAAAAATGATTTGATAATCTCAAAAAGTTTCACAGATACACCATATGAAGCAAGCGTTTGGAGAAGACTGCATGCTAAACTTTATCAAAAGCTTTAGATATATCAAATACTATGAACTGTACAAATACAACTGGAAACAAAGTATTACAAATACATCTACACCAGTCTAATGGATGCAAAAGGGGTGCTGGGTTGGTCAACAGAACATGTTTACCCTTTACATCTTTGTCTAGGAGGCCTTCTACAAGGCAGTAGCCGAATGCATTTAACATCTACCCAAGATAAGTATTTTTATTGACACCATCTCTTTAGTGTTTACTTAACAAAGAGCCCAAAGTCTGAGTTTTCTTCTCCTAGCTTTTGCCTAAAAATGCGTATCCTACAAAACAGCAGGACATGAAGCAGGTTGTACTGGGTTAAATGTTACCAGTAGCAGGATAACCTGACAAAAACAAAAGATAAATTGAAATAATTATGTAGTTGTGAAAATTTTTATGTTTAATATTTTTAGTTGCTTTAGTCATGTTTTAAGTTATAAGAGAATTTGACTTAATTACAGATAGACTCAATTATAGATAGCATAGCACACCAAGAAAGCACAAACAAAAATCTATGAGTAGAGTCAAAAAGTTGCAGCACTCATCATCCTAGGCAAGAAGTAGTGTAACATATCTACACTACCCTAATAGATAAAGAAAGTGAGCAATGTTGGTTAATAGAATTGTCTGTTTATATTTAATGTGTTTGCCTAGGACACCATCTACAAGACAATAGCCAAATCCAATTAACATTTGCTCAAAACAACTAATTTTATTCAGACAATATCTCTAGTCTTTACTTAACCAAGAGCTCCAAGGCATGCAGTGCTGAATTATTAGGGGGGGAAGTCAAAGGGTACTTTAGCCCTCAGCCATACAGTTTTAGGGTCCTAATTCAAAATAAAATATTTTTTAAAAAACTCTGGAAAAAATTTGACAAATTCTTTGATTGATGACTAGGACCACCTGCTTTAAACTAGCCCCAGTCCTTAAAAAGTCTTAATCTGCCACTGAAGGCAGAGATAGTTCAAGTCACAGTTAGCTTTTTCTAGCTTTTACATAAATAAGCAAATCCTAAAATGCAGCAAGACATGAGGTAAGTTGTACTAGATTATATGTTACAGGGTGATCATGATGATCTTGAACCTGAGATGACCTGATTAGACTAGCTAAAGAGAATAATGTGGAAGATAAAGACTTTTTAGTAAGATTCAAACTTTATGTTACTCTTTAAGGTCATATTATTAGTACATATTATGTGTTCTAAGTTTCATTGACAAACTTATTGTTAAAAATATTGCAAAAATTGTTACAAGAATCAATTAGATAGAGCAGTGAAGCTCAATCCACTTTCATAGTTTACTTTTGTGTTAATTTTTATAAATCTTTGAATGTAAATAAATTAGATTTTTTAAAATAAATATACAAAAATCCTATTTGTATTTTTTTATTTTCGCAACATACAAACCCATAGAAAAGAAATTTCATCAATATTGAACTAATATTACTCAAGTTTAAGCTTAATGTGTGATATATTGTGCTTAATAAATCATGGGCTTTAGAAAAATTGGTCAAGATACAAATTGGGATTGAGAATTGATATCTCTTAAACTGTAAAGAATCTAAAATTTGACATTTTCGTACCAAAAACATTAAAATCTGCAGTGGTATGGTGTTAAGCATATTTTGAAATGACCTGAAATGATGCAGTCTTCATTGCACTTAATAAATCCCACTAAACATCAAAATATATATAATACACATAAAAGAAATTTGGCAAAAATTGATAGAAAATTTTTCAGGTTTAATGAGATGTAGTTTTGCTGCAACAATTTTAAATGAAATTATTGCACAAATTTATAATAAATAAAAACAAACACTTACATGATAGCTACTCTGAAGAACCTTTTGCTCAAGTACAAAGCATGTGATTGTTAACCCTGTAATACCAATAAGCAGTAAAAAAATTGCAAAAACACCAATCCAACAGCTGCGATTACAATTACAGGTTTGAGACTCTTCTATAAAAAATAATTTTGTAACTACCTACACTTAATTCTTTATAAAACTGAGATAAAAATTAGTAAATATGCTTTTATGTTCTTTCATATTCTAACAAATAGAACATGAAAAAAAAATTTAAATATACCTAAATAAACTATTTATGTATAACTTAAGCAATAAAAAGCATTACAATAATTAAGTTTACATACACTAAAGTAACCTATATAAATTATATAGGTTACTTTAGTGTTAATAAAAAAAATTATATAGGTTACTTTAGTATTAATTCATTATATTATAATGAATTAATAAATATAATTAAACAGTTACAAACAGGAATGACATAAACTAATGGAATTATCCTTAATTTGCCTTATAAAAATACTTAAATAAGATAATTTAAACAGCTTTCAAGTAAATTTAATTTTTGAAAATTTATACTGAAACTATTATATTTTTTTTATTGTATGCTGACCTGGAGGCAAATTAGATGTAGGAAAATTTTCCGCCTTCATTTGAAAATAAGTTATAAAGAATTCTATATATTCATCTATAAATGATTGAAACTAGCAGAACTTTCTCTGCTTCTACATCTCATTCTGCATGTAAAAAAAAAATTGCACAAGGAAAATCAAATATGATTTTTAAGAGGAAATTAAAAAAAAAAAACAGGTTGCCGGCATCTCGTAACTAGAAGTTTACGGCAAGTCGTGAAATTAAGCTGCCTCGGCATCTTAATGATTTTGGAAGTTTAATCAAACTCAGTTTAAAGAAGTTTAAAAATGTATAATAAATTATGAATTGAATAATTATGTAATTTGCAAAACTGTGAAGATAAAAGTTTAAGATGCTTCGCAAAAATAAAAACATTGTTATGTAAAATACTAAGCGTAGTTAAGGTGCTTTTCAAGAAGTTGCCGTCAGTCGGTTATTAGTTTAAACAATTAAGATATTTTGGTAAAATATTCCATGTATTCTAGTCATTTTAAGTTATTACCCAAAAAAAAATTCTAAATAACCTGAAATTTGACACATACTCTATTAATATCATATAGTAACACCAAAAAAAAAACCCGTTGTTAGCCTTTGGGGGAAATGAGTTAATGACATTTTTCCATAATGCTTAATTTCACTTTATGTTTTAACTTCAGAAAATAGGTTTATACTAATCTCAAATTAGATAAAGATAACTTTGATTTTAAATTTTGATAAATTTATAATATTGAAATAACAATTCAAAATTAAAGTTGCAATTAAAAAATATTAAAAAATAAAATAAAAGTTATTATTAAAATATTATTGCTAGCTCATAGAAAGGAGATATGATTTTTGGAATAAATGTTCAAAAAATTAACAATTTGAGTAAAACATTTAAATTTAAAAGTGATTCGAATATTTTTTAAAGTTTGTGCTTATTTTTATTTTTTTTTTTAAAGCAAAAAAATATAATAGAAAACAACTCTATGTTCACGGAATAAAAGCAAACAAAAAAACACGTAAGGTAATTATGATAATATTTTGATCTTAAAATTCTTTTATTGACACTTTCATTTTGATTAATTGTTTATTCTGTTCTTTAGAAGTTTAATAGAAGCAATTGTAATAACGTATGGCGGAAATCAAAATGATACCCTTAATTCTCTTAGGTAATAAATCATTCCATTCAATGTTATCAGTAAAAGATTAACTAACTCTTCACACATAGTGGTTTGCAAATGTAATTAATTGCATAATTTAAAAAAAAACTGAAAAATTTTAAATTATATTAGATACGAGAAATATCTTGAAAAGACATGCATGGGATTAATTGACCCAGCTAAGTCGCTACCATAGGAGCGAACAGCTTATTACCATGGATTACGAGTGCATTTACGGGCAAGCTATTATACTTATTTAGTAAGTATAATAGCTTACCAGTAAGTGTGACAGTAATATAACAAAAATATACTACAGTACTATATTAATATAATTAAATTGTGTCAAAAAACGCGTTTATATATTTTATTACCAATTCATTATCCATCATATTTTAGGAACAAGTGACAGAGTTGAGGGAGGTCAAAGGCAAAAGTGACGCAAGCGACAACAAAGAAGTATTCGAACGAAATATTTTTGACATTTTAATTGTTAATTTAACTTTTTCACTTTTTTAAATTTATCAAAATTTAAAATCAAAATAATTTTTAATTAATGTGATATTAGTATAAACCTATTTTTTGATGTTAAAACATAAAGTGAAATTGATCATAATGGAAAAATGTCAATAACTCATTTTTTCCAAAGGGTATCAACGAGGGGGAAGGGTTTGGAGTTACTATATGATATAACAAGAGTATGTGCCAAATTTCAGCTTATTTAGATTTTTTTCGGGTAATGGGGTTATTTTTGCTAAAATGACTAAACTACTCATAAAGATCTTTTAAGAAACTTGATTGTTTAAACTAATAACCGGCTGACGGTTTATTAGATCGTTTTAAGGAAAAATACAAAAAATCTTACTGTGAACTACAAGCAATCTTTTAAAATTTATTTACAGTCATTCTGGATAACTTTGAATTTGCGTGTAACATTGAATAAAACGTGTAAATGTTTTTAAATTTTTTTTTCTTTGGTATTTTCTTTGCCTGTTGCTTTAACAAAGGATAATATGATAAATTATCTTTTTTTACAAAAGTTTGACCATAAATAATTGAATTTTGTTTTACAAAAATATTTTTCCCCTCGATTTCCAGTTACACAGTCGAATGTGGTGATAATATCGTGTGTTGTCAATTTAGAATATTTGTTACTATATTGTAAATATCAGAATAGATTTTTTAGTATTTTATTGAATTATTTTTCGAATTTTAATAAAAACTCAAAATAATAGGAAATTACATGTTTTTTGCTACTAAAAGGATATTTATTTTTACTTAGCTAAAATATAACTCAAATCAGGGTAACTTTGAATAATCAATGTTCCCTAAAAGTGCTTTTTTTGCTGTCTGAGTAACAGATTTTTTTGCAATAATATATAATAAATATAATAAACATCTTTTTATTATAGTAATGGAGTAACGCCAGATAACATTTAAAATATGGATGAAACAGGGCTTCATGACAACCCTGGAAAAAAAAAACTTATTTTTCGTCAATCCTCTTGCCATCCAGAACTTATAAGAAAAACTACAATCTTGTTACACTGCTGCTTTTTGTGGAAATGCCTCAGGAAAGCTAATTCCACCATTTTTCATTTTTAAAGGAAAACACAGTTGGTCTGACTGGCTTTTTAATGCACCAGAAGGATCAAGAATAAGAACTTCTTGCAGTGGCTGGATGAAAATTCAAATATTTGAAGAGTGGCTGTTAAATCACTTTGTTCCAAATATTATAAATAAGGAAGGTAAAAAAATTCTGATTTGTGATAATTTAAGTGCTCATATATCTTTCAAAGCCTTAAATATATGTGAAAAGCATAATATAACATTTATATGTTTGGTACCCAATTCCACACACCTTTTACAACCTCTAGATGTTGGGTATTTCTCGAGTTTAAAAGCTAATTGGAGGTCAGTTCTTAACCAATGGCGTAAAACATCCCATGGGAAAAAAGTTAATAACCTAGCAAAAAATTTGTTTTCGCAGCTCATTAAATCTGCTCTCAATGTTGGTAAAGAAAATCTAGAACATAATCTACAAGCAGGATTTAAGGCTACTGGCATATATCCCTGAACATGTTCTCTCGAAATTACCCAGTTTTACAAATATAGATATTCATCTCAATATTGGAGAATCGTTTAGGAAATATGTCGATGAAATTCATACATCTAATCTTAATTATGAAGCAAGCAAAAAATTCAAGTTACCAATAACAGCAGGGAAAAGTGTATCAGCCACTGAGATAGAAGCATACTATAAGTTAAGAGACAATAAGAAAAAAATCAAGATAATATTCGAACAAAGAAAAGAGTAAAACCACTTGTATCAAAAAATATAATTATGAAAATAAACAAAAAAAATGTTTCACAAAGTTCAAGCATTGTAGATGTTAATCAAGTTATTAAAGACAATGACCAAGTTATATCTCAAAATGATGCAGTTTTTTTATTAGAGCAAATAAAAAATCACAATATACTTGTTTTCCATGATCATAATTATTTGATTAAAGAGTTAGTTGTGACTCAAGACTAAAATAATGGACTTAAACACTGTAATATTTAGTTTTATGGTCACAGGTGTTTATTTGTGTAGAATTATATAGAAATGATGTCTTAATTATTTTTTGTTTCATAACCTTAAAAAATTGATCAACAAGTTCATTTAGTGATTTGTAATATTTTATTGAAAAATTTGTTTGTTTATTTAGATTTTTTTTTAAATTAATTTGAGCTAATACAACAAAATTTAAACAACTTTTTAGATTTAACTGATTAAAATTGACATTTAATTTAATAGTGTTCAAAGTTACCCTAAATGCAAGTGTAACTTTGAATCCCTACTTGAACTTTGTTTTTTAACAAAATAACTAGCAAATTTAAAAAAATGATAACAAACTTGAAAAAAGAGATCATCAGAACACCTTTTATGTAAAAATATTTGTTAACTAGTTTGTAAAAAATATTTATATTTTTTACAAACTAAATATTATATACAAAATAAAAATTAATATATTTACTGTTTACTATCTCAGTTAAAAAAACATTATGGTTAATGATCGCTGTGTAGTTGGCATTTGCAATAACGATAAACGTTATCCAGAGCGTTACGAAACACAAAGTAACGTTAAATCTGGAAAATTATGTTTCCACAAATTGCCTGTTGATGAAAAAACAAAAAAATCATGGATTTATGCTGTTTCTAAAGGGCGAAAACACTATGTTGCACCTTAACATTTTAAAATCTGCTCTAATCATTTTGTCGATGGCATGCCATCTTATGAAAATCCTAACCCAACACTCTTTTTGACATGCACCATGAATGTTCAATGTACTCCCGAAAAAAAACAATCAAGACCTCCTCCAAAAATCAGAACAACATCTACTGTAAAACCTGTTTCTTCAAAAATGATTGAATCTATTATCTCTAACTCGGATACACTTACAGCTGAAGAGTTGTCAGATCTTATGATTGTTTCTTCAGACGAAGAAAGCTTAATCTCGATCGAAATAACTCCATATATTAGTGGCGATGCAGTTGCAGCAGAAATATTACACATCTCCGACTCTCCCAAAGTGGCGGGATAGCTCAGATGGTTAGAGTGTCAAAGGAAAAGTTAAAACCTGGACTGTTAAACGACAAGAGTTTAAATCCCGCCACCGCCAACTCAGCGCTTGAGTAGTACTTCGGTACGCAAAAATGTTGGTCAATAACGGACGCTCCTTTGGATTAGTCTTAATGACTATTTGTGGCTGTTCCTATGCTAAGCCAACAATATCTTCGGATATAAGAACATTGTATAGAAAAATATAGCATGAAAACTCAAATTAAAAAAAAAAAAAAAAAAAAAAGAATTATTACACTCACCCGCCTTTCCCAAAGAAAAAGACACTGCAAGTCCAATTTTGTTTGAAAATAAAGCAGGTTATAGTGGTAAATATAATTTAAAGCCTACTCTATTATTAACATATATTGCTTTACAGTTTTGTCATATTACTAAGGACTCAGATGTATCGACTTTTACAAGTTTACAAAATGCAAAAATGTTTAAATTATGTCAAGCACAAAGCAGCA